GTTGCCATCTATATCATCATACTGAAAGTCCCCGTTACTTAAAACATGCACAATTTGTAGAATTCTTAGTTTTAAGAAATGTATTGGTAGTTAACAAGGACAAGAGACCTGGAGATTTAAAATAGTAGAGAGGGTCAGAGTAATAGTAGAGCAGGTAGGGCGCTTGCCTTGCACACAGCCAACCTGGGTTCAATCCCCAGCACCCCATATAGTCCTCCAAGCACCTCCAAGAGTGATTCCCCGAATGTACAGCTAGAAGTAAACCCTGATCACCGCCACTGTGGCTCGAAAACCAAAAATAAAATAAAATAGTAGAGAGCGGTCTACAGAACTGAGTTCAACAAAGGGCAGGCGGTGGATGGGACACTGCAGCCTTGGAACAGGAAGGTGTGGAAGCACGCACTCTGGTGGAGGGTGTGGTACTGGGACGCTATAGACGTGAAAACCAATCATTAACAGCGTTGTACATAACAGGGCCTTCATAAAAAAATGTTAAATAAATTAAATAGTACAGAGAAAAAATATAATAAAGGCTATTTTTAACCACTGATTTTTAGCAAGATTTTATTCCTGAGGTTAATTTTCCTACTGACACCATAACCTAAAGGACACTTTTTAACTGATTTTGAATTTAAAAAATTCCTAAATATTAAAGATGTCCATATCTTTTGAAACAAAGTATGTTATAGAATGTTTCTTCCACGAACTAGCTTAATCATATTGAAATGCCATCAAATTATACTTAAAATCTATTAACGTAGATATGGCAGTCTGAATCCACATTAAATAACCCTGGATAAATGCTCTTTGAATTTCTGTGTATTGTTTTGTTTTCTTCCGAAACATATTTTCATCAATTTAATAATAATAAATATTTTATCGATTTTATAATTGAAGGTGAAAAAACATGTTAGAATTTTATCATAAATCAGCGGCCTCCCCCATCTCGCCTTCTCCCCCATCCCCCCACCACCACCTTTTCCCTTCTCTATACGCTAGCCCTGGGCTGGAGTGATAGCACAGTGGTAGGGCGTTTGCCTTGCACGCAGCCAGCCTGGGCGAGCCAGGTTCGATTCCTCCGCCCCTCTCGGAGAGCCCGGCAAGCGTATCTCTCGCCCACACAGCAAAGCCTGGCAAGCTCCCCGTGACGTATTCAACATGCCAAACACAGTAACAAGTCTCAAAAAATGGAGACGTTAGTGGACCCGCTCGAGCAAATCGATGAACAACAGGAGGACACTCCTCACTCGCCCCTTTCCGAGCGCGGCCGCAGCAGCAGACACCTCACCGTCTCTTATTCCCCCCCCACAAAAAAAAAAAAAGATTAAAGAAAATAAGTCAATTAAAATTGAATAATCTTGGGGCCAGAGCAATAGTACAGTGGGGAGAGCACTTGCCTTGCACGCAGCCAACCTGGGTTCAATCCCCGGCATCCCATATGGCCCCCTGAGAACCACCAGGAGTGATTCCTGAGTGCAGAGCCAGGAGCAAGCCCTGGGAATCGCCAGGTGTGACCCAAAAAAGCACACACAAAAATTTTGAGTATTCAATAACACATCCTTAAATAATGCCTCTGTGAAGAAAATGTGTGAAGAGAGCAAGTCTAAGAGTTAATAAAACAATAAAATGATGTGTTTTCTGTTGGGGAAAGAAGGCTGGGGTGACGGCGTGAAGGGCCACAGCCTGTGCTGTGATGTGGGCCCCTGGGTCTGAACCCCGAGTACCTGATGGGAATACCCCTGGCACCGCAGGGTAGGATCCAAATACAAAAAAAAAAAAAAAAAGTCTGAGAAAGAGTGCTGATTGGGGGGTCAGGGAGCAGATGGGCGAAAGTCAAGGGTTCCTGAGAAAGGGGGCCTTCAACCACGAAGAGGGTTAGACCCCTGTGGCTTGGGCCATAGCAGAATCCATCCAGGTACTTTTAGCAGCTGTTCCCTGTGGCTTACTATGGTCCTTCTGGATGCAGAGAAGCAGACACAAAACCTGCCCTCGAATAACAGGGGCAGAGAAACAGTACAGGGTACTTGACATCCGTACCGAGCACGTGTCGACCTGGGGTTCAGTCTCCGGCACCGTATTTGTTTCCACGGGCATTGCTGGTTGCATCCTAGGGGGGATGAGCACTGCCAGGAGGGCCCCGGGGAGCCCCACCACCGCAGGGCCTGAGCAGTGCCACACCTCATGCCTGTACAGTACACCACTGACCCGGCAGGTTGAGAATTGCTGGGCCTCACACCTCCTGAGTATTCCTTCCGAGGCTCCTCACAAAGAAATGAACAGGGAAGTCAAGAGAACTGGGGCAGCCAGTCAGCTTCAGAAGACAGGGCCAGCCCTTAAGACTCGAGGTGGGAGAAAATAGTACAGAGAGGCCAAAGAACTTGCCTTGCATGTAGCCAAGCCCAGTTCGGTCTGCGGTACTGCATATGGCCCGCCAAGTCCCGAGGCCCCCTGCCTCTGTGCTCTGGGATTACTGAGCACAGAGGCAGGAGCAAGCCCTGAACCTTAATACAAAACCAAAACAATGCCAGCAGAACTTTACAAACATCTCGGCGAAGTGAATTAAGACAGTTCTGATGCAGAGGCCAGACCAAGTGCTCCCAAGAGATTCTGAGCCATGTCCGGCACAGCCCAACCCACGGTGTAACTCACTGCTCAGTGCTCAGCACTGCACAGCAGCCCAGCCGGGCCCTCAGGAGCCGTTTCTGAACACAGAGAGGAACTCTGTTGTTAGTTTATGAAGACCCTCAGAGGATGGCAAATTTTCAGCCTTCGGTATTTGATGAGATTGTTTCATTTTTTTTTCCTTTTACACTGACATATTGCAAAGTAGAACATATAATAAAAATGTGTAAAACTTAAATACACGGCTGAACAATTCTACAATGAGGGCGATAGTACAGCGGTTAAGGCACTTACCTTGCATGCAGCCTACCCAGGTTCAATCCCTGTCATCCCATATGATCCCCCAAGCCCACCAGGAGTGCTCCCCAAGCACAGACCCAGGAATAATCCCTGAGCACCGTCCTAAAAAAGTTTTTAATTAAAAACAAAAAAGGCCTGGGGCTGGAGTGATAGCACAGCGGGTAGGGCATTTGCCTTGCACGCAGCCAACCCAGTTCGATTCCCAGCATCCCATAGGGTCCCCTGAGCCACCGCCAGGAGTAATTCCTGAGCACAGAGCCAGGAGTAACCCCTATGCATCGCCGGCGTGACCCAAAAAGCCAAAAAAAATAAAGGAGGGGGGGCCAGGGGTTGGAGTGATAGTACAGTGGGTAGGGCATTTGCCTTGCACGTGGCCAACCCAGGTCTGATACTTGACACCCCATATGGTCCCTTGTACCTCGCCAGGAGTGATAACTGAGTGCAGAGCCAGGAATAAGCCCTGAGCATCACCAGTTTTGGCCCCCAAACCAAAAAATGTGTAAAGGCCAGAGAGACAACTCAACAGACTGAGTAGAAAGCAAAGCCCCAGGCTTGATCCCTGGCACCTGCATGGTCCCTGGACCTCTGGAAGCAGCTCCCAGGCACAGATTGAGGACTAGCGTCCCCCACCCTCCCAGCACGCCCGGGTATGAGCCAAAAAGACAAGCTAGAATTGTTATTTAAGCAGATAAACATGTAACCACCTCTTGGCTGAAAATTTGAATGTTGGGGCTGGAGCGGATTGCTCTGTACACATCCAACCCGGGTTCGATCCCCGGCACCCCACGTGGTCCCCTGAGAACTGCCAAGAGTGATTCCTGAGTGCAGAGCCATGAGTAAGCCCTGAGCCTCACCAGGTATGACCCAAAAAGATAAAAAAAAAAAAAATTGAATATTGGAGCTGGAAGAGATAGCCCAGTGGTTAAGGTGCTTGTCTTGCACACAGCTGACTCAAGTTCATTCCCTGGCACCGCATATGGTCCCCAAGCACCACCAGGAGTGATTTCGGAGCATAGAGCCAGGAGTAAGCCCTTAGCACTGCTGGGTTGCTGGGTGTGGTCCAAAAATGGGGAAAAAAAAGGAAGAAATTTAACATCGGGATGGGAGTGATGTCTCGGGCTGAGCACTTGCTTCATGTGCAGGAGGCCTGGGTTGAGTTCCAGCACCGCACTGTCACCTGCTCTGAACACCTCAAGGAAAGACACATTCCTCCCACAACATGGAGCCAGGAGTAGCTTTAACACATTTTCAAGAGAGCTGGAGCAGTAGTACAGCCTGTAGGGCATTTGCCTTGAACGCAGCCAACGCGGGTTCCATCATTGACACTTATGTGGCTCGCCCAAGCCCCGCCAGGAGTGATTCCTGAGTGCCTCTGCAGGTCGCCCAGAAAACACCTCTCCCCAAAAAAAAGGTTTAAGCAGGACTTCGAATTGTTTAGAACAGAAACGTTCACAGCAGTAGCATGACCTCCATCGGCCAATGGGCAGACTTTGCCAAGACCTCTGGGTGGCACCCGTGAATGGCCGGTGGGAACATGTTCCTTGGGCCAGCGTCGTTGATCGCTGCTCCCTCCCCCAGGATGGCGGCACTCAATGCCACACCCCCTGCCAGTGTTCAAGAGAATGAAATCGAAGGGGAAAACCCCAAACATTTCCTTCATTCGACCTAGTAACGCCATTGTGGTCGGGAACTGAATGATGCTCCAGCCCTTCTGTCCATGGTGGCGATGGTGCTTGTCTGTCTGGGGGTCGGACGTTGGACGCCATGCGCTGGAGATGACGGGCACTCGAGCTAAGGGTCACCATCCACAGCACGGCTCCGCAGGGGTCAGACTCGGGGCCTCACACCTGCAAGACAGGATCACTCCCCGCTTCCCCTCATCCCCGGGCCCAGGGCCTTTCTCTTGTCAAATACATTCTAGACTTAAAAGACTTGGGGCGTGGGAGGCCGAAAGGAATTGTTGCGGCCGTAGGGGAAGCCTGGCAGGCACTTCTGGGCCTCCACAGTTGTGTGAAGTCGGCTCTTCAGGAGTCTGGTCAATGACGTTAATTTGTCCATCTTGGTGATATTTTTCACAGGCTCAGAAAAAGAGTTTGAATCAGCCGTCCCCCATTTCCGCTTCCAAGACCCCCGATGGCCTGAGGCAAGCGCCGATCCCTGGCCTCCCGAGCACCGGCCTGCCAGGTCAGAACCTTTGGAGTCCGCTCTCCTCAGGGTCTTGGCCCCCTCCTGCTGCATGCACCCCGCTCGCTCCCACTCGCCCCTGCCCCAGCCGGCCCTTCCTCCTGAGCTGAGGCGGGCACCGAGCCCTGCTGCCTCGGCTAGGACACAGGGCATCTGTGTCCTGCCTTAGGAACGAGCCGCTTGACTGCTGTCTGGCCCAGGAGACTGTGACTACACTCACGTGGCTTTCTGTGTGTAGATGGCAAAGTGCCCCCCTCCTGCCCCCCAAGGAAAGAGGCTGTGTGTGTGGATGGGTCCACTGGTCTTCCTTGCAACGCCCTGAACACATGCCCCGCTCAGTTCAGTTCTAGGAGACGCGAAACACAGACCCACCTTATCACGCCTCCCTCCGTAAAGCTGGGATCGCTGGGGGTCGGTGGCACTGGCGGACAGTGGTCCCGGGGCGTGTTCTCAGATCCCGGGTAATCGGAAACGGCACTGGCAGCTCACGACCCCGGGTCTGCTTCCCCTTGGCTTCCATCCTCCCCTCCTCTGCTTCTGGCTCCTCTCTGCACACACGGGCCTTGCCGCTTCCCCTCCCTCACTAGAGTTTCCCTCGAGTCCAGGGCTTGGCTCCACGGTACGGAAATCCCCCGTTTGAGAACCTGCGTTGAGCCCTGCCCGGGGGGGGGGGGACTCAAGGCTTCTGTCAGGGTCCTGATGTACTGCTTCTCCTGAACATTGTCTCACGTGTTAATTCTACTAGGGCAAGATTCTGGAAGCAAAGTCCTCCCGGCATCCTTAGGAACCACCCAGCCACAGCAGGAGAAAGTAGTTGGATCATCTCCTGGCCAGCCAGCTCTGCAGGTAGAAGACATTTGCGTAGCTGCTTCCCAGGGCTTAGCACAACTGAGTTGCAGGTGCATGCGTGCTGCCCGCCCCTCCGTTCCCCGGCACCGCCGGTGCAGCCTGGTCAGTCTGGCCAGACCGGGTTGTGTTAACGTTCGCAGGCCGAGCGCGTTTCTCCTCACAGCACTGCCGGCTGCAGTGGGCATTCGGAACATGCACCTGGGGCAGAGTGTGACTCAAGGGGCAGAGAGCTCATGCCCAGGCCAGCATTCCCGGTGCGGTCCCTGCGCTCAGAAAAAGAAAAAAAAAATGTAGTGTAGAGGGGTAGAACTCCGGGAGAGAACATCTGACCACAGAAAACTGCACTTAGCGACCAGGAATACGTGAGGTGTCTAGTCTCTGTGTTGTCTTAACCCAGGCTGCTGGTTGTTGTTGCTTTTTTTCTTCTACCTAACGAGGCTGTGATTGTTCAGGTTGTCTTCTGAATGGATTGGTCGTTGGTTCTCAGTGCTGTAGAATGTAAGGTTCAATGTCACACCTCTTCGTGTGTGTGATAACTACACCCACTATCAAAGTTTCAGGGCTGTTTCACCCAGAAATACCCCCTTTCATCACTCCTCCCTTCCTAGCTATCATTTCCAGGGAGTGTAGGGTTAGCTTTGTGGTTTAGCCAGTTTCTTTTTTCCGTTATTCGTATTCCATATAGAAGTGAAACCATTGATAACTGTCTTTCCTTATTTACTACACTTGGTATAATCACCTCAGGTACCATTCATTTTCTGTTTTGTTTTGTTTTGTTTTTGTTTTTGTTTTCCAAAAATGGTAATTATTTCGTCTTACTTAACAGTACAATAGAATTCCATGAAGTCTATCTTTATCTACTCATCATCAGTCAGCATTTATTTATTGGTTTCCTGGACTCCATAACTGGCAGTGCTCAGGGCTCATTTCTGAGGTGCTCAAAGGGGCCATATGGAGTGCTGGAGAATCGAACCTGGATCGGCTGTGTGCGGAGCAAATGCATCACCCTACAGTGCCTCTCCGGCCCTAATCAGCATTTCGTTTTCTAGTCAGATGCTCTGGCTTGGTGCTCTCGCTCAGCCCTTTAGGTGTTTCCTTACCTTGACAGCCGTGCTGTCAAGTTGCACCCCTGACTCGTGCATTCTGGGTGGGTTCCGTATGTGGGCTGTTGGGAGTGATGCTGCTCGGAACGTAGAAGTGCGAATATCCTTTCAAATTAGGCTTTTCCTATCATTTGGAGAAGTCAAATCAGTTTCTGCTTCATGAGACTTACTGGAGCGATAGCACAGCGGGTAGGGCGTTTGCCTTGCACACGGCCGACCCGGGTTCGATTCCCAGCATCCCATATGGTCCCCTGAGCACCGCCAGAAGTGATTCCTGAGTGCAGAGCCAGAGTAACCCCTGTGCATCGCCAGGTGTGACCGAAAAAAAAAAAAAAAACTTTTTATAGTCTGAGCCTCCCCATGTCCTCGGGGCTGGTCCGCCCCAGCTCTGAGACGCTGATATCAGGTGTGTTGTGGCCTAACCGAGAGAGAAATGCCCTGTTAGGTGGCACCCCTGGACTGGCGTGTAACAGATTCTGAGGAGTCTTTGCTCCTGGGCCTGAGAGATGGCTCCAAGGGCTCAGCACATGTGTTGCCATGTGGGAGGCCTAGGTTCCATTCCTCATGGTCCCCTGAGCACTGAGTCAGGATTAGCCCTGAGCTACCGGAGATAGTACAGGGAGTGGGTTGGAGCAGAAGAAAATCAGGCAGGGTGTTTGCCTTGTACACTGCAGCTGCGGAGCCAAGTTTGGCCCTTGCCCATCCCCCAGTATGCTCCCCTGAGCACTGCTGGCAGTGATCTCTGAGCATAGAGCCAGGAGTAAGCCCTGAACACTGCCAGTCGTGGTCCCAAAAAGTTAAAAAACAGAGCTAGTACCAGGTTAAAGCTCTTCCCTTGCATGTAACATACCCAGTTTTCACACACGCGCGCACACACACACACATATACACACCCCACATTCGGCTTCACAACCCCTGTCCAGAGTGATCCGTGAGCACAGAGCCAGTAGTAGTAAGCCCTGAGCACCACTAAGTGTGGCCCACAAACCAACCCTCCCTCCCCCCCAGGAAAAAAATTGTTTGTGCATCAGAGCAATAGTACAGTGGATAGCTGCTCACCTTGCATGCTTTCAACACGGGTTCTAGTCCTGGCATCCCATGTGGCCCCCCTGAGCACTGCCAGAGTGATTCCTGAGCGCAGAGCCAGGAACAACTCCTGACTATCACTGGGTGTGGTCCCCAGACCATAAATAAATAAATAAATAAAAAGCTTACCACTAGGAGGATAAATTAAATATAGTTTATTGTATTTTCACATGTTCATCAAGTGGGCAGCCACAAGTATATTTCTTCAAAAAGATGAAGATTTAGGGACCAGAGAGATAGTCCATCAGGTAGAGCTCTTGCCTTGCATGCAGCCAACCTGGGTTTGATCCCATAACTTCCCTTGAGCACCACTAGGAGTGATCCCTGAGTGCAGAGCCAGGAGTGAGTCCTAAATGTTGCCAGGTGTGGTTTAATCCATCCCCCCAAAAAAAAGAAATTTTTGTAACTATGTACAATGATGACTGTTAAATAAAATGTATTGTGATCATCATTTTGCAATATATATGTGCGTGTATACATATATATGTCTCTGAACTCATCAGGTAGTATACCATCTAAAACTGATATACTGCCATTCTGTCTCATAAAAAAGTAAAATGTTGTGGGGCCAGAGCAATAATTCAGCGGATATATAGGATGTTTGTCTTGCACTCAGTTGACCTGAGTTCGATCCTCAGCACCCCATATCGTCCTCTGAGCACAGTTTAAAAAATTTAAGTGATGTGAAGATGATGGCGGGTTCTAGAGGGAGTTGGGATTCAGGCTTTAAGGAATAAACTTCATCCTTCCAGCGCACAGAAACTTAGGGACCCTGTTCTCTGGAACCCTGAGCTTATCACCAGACAAACGCAACACTCTTAGCCTAAGTTTTTGATGAGGGAAGGGGGTGGAAACGTTGAAATGTTTGGTGATCTTTATGCGGAGCTCGCCTGCTTATTTTTCCTGCACGAGGGAATAACCAGGAATGTCTTTTCTTTAGGTGGATGGTCATTCAGGAGGACAGAAGAGGCCTGCGGCAAAGCAGCTAACTAAAGGAGCTTTGTGAGTTCCTCGGGCATGGCACGGGAGGGCTAAACGTTTCTTGGGATTTCTAACCTACAAAGCGTAGGCGCTTGCCCCAGAGGCAGGGGATGGGGTTTGGGGGGTGCTGGGTGGGAAACAGGGGACATCGGTGGTAGGAAACGTACACTGGTGGAGGGATGGGCGTTGGATCATTGTATGACTGACACCCAGTCATGAACAGCTTGGTTTGTCTCAAGGATATTCAATAAAAAAATTTAAAGAAAAAAGTAAAATTTTGGCAACTGCCAAATCAGAGTATGTCAACATGAGTATTTCTTCAGTGAGCTTGGAAAGCCCCTTCCTTGAGCCCATGTCCATTAGGGTGTGTCTATCTGGACAAACTTGCAGGCTATTGAATATAGCCTGCCCACAGGGCAGAGTCTGGCAAACTCCCCGTGGCGCACCAAATATGCCAAATACCAGTAACAATGATGGGTCTCATTCTCCTAAAGAGCCTTGAATATAATCTCAGGGCTAGGATGAAAGAGACGTTACTGGGGCCTGCTCGAGCCAATCGACGAATAACAGGATGATGAAATGAAATGAAATGAAAATCTGGTATATCAAAAGTAGATCAAGCCTACTGTGTGCTCTTTTCTTCTTAAGAATAAGGGCTGTCACTCAGTGCCTCTTTTGCAAACCACAGCACCCAAAAGGAGAGAGAGAAGAAAAGGGAATGCCCTGCCACAGAGGTGGGGTGGGATGGGGGGGTTGAGGGTGGGTGGGAGGGATACTGGAATCATTCATGGTGGAGAATGGGCACTGGTGGAGGGATTGGATAGTCGATCATTGTATAACTGAAATGCAAGCACAAACATTTATAAGTCTACAACTGTACCTCATGGTGTTTCACTAATAAAAATAAATTAATTTTTAAGAAAAAAAAATAAGGGCTGCATTTTTGACACTCCCCTGAGACTTTCTGGGGAAGCAGGATGTTAATAAATTCTGTTTAGAACAGAAATTATACCGCCGGTTCTGGTGCCACCAGTTCTGATGGCCACCAGTCAGCACTGCCGCAGTCTGACACACGTGCTTGGTGTGAGCACTGCCCCGGAGACCAGGCCCCTGGCTCTCCAGTCCTGCAGCCTCTAAGCCCAGGCCCTCTCCCCGTGCCCGCTCCCACTCTCACGCACCCCGTATCTCTGCATGTGAGTGAGGGCTCTGCACAGCTGTCTCCCTGTGGCTGACTCAACTCTCTCCCCTTACAGCATCCTCCAGCAGTTACAGCGGGACCAAGCCCATGCCATGACCCCAGACAAGAGCCAGTTCCACTCACTGAGCGACGCGGTACAGCGGCTGCTCTCCTACCACGTGTGCCAGGGTTCCATGCCCTCCGAGGAAGACTTGAAGAAAGGTAAGATGCTGGCACCCCAACAGCCCTTAGCACAGCCCCCACGGTGCCCGGGAGTGCCAGGTCATTGTTGGGCACAGACCTCACTTGTTCCCACTGATTCAGTTTCCTGGGGCGTGTGAAGGGTTGGGACTGAGTCTTGTGGAGGGACAGATGTCCCAGAGTCAGTACATTTGACCGCCAGGAGTAACTCCTGAGTGCAAAGCCAAGAGGCAGCCCTAAGTCTCACCAGATGAGGCCTAAAAAGAATCCCTTAGGGGCCAGAGCAATGGTACGGCGAGTAGGGTGTTTGCTGGCATGTAGTCAATCCTGCCAGTTTGTCCAATTTGGACAAACTGGCAGGCTACCGAATGTTACCTGCCCACACGGCAGAGTCTGGCAAACTTCCCGTGGCGTACCCAATATGCCAAATACCAGTAACAAGGATGGGTCTCATTCTCCTAACCCTGAAAGAGCCTTGAATATGGCACTTTTTAAAAAAATCTCAGGGCTGGGACGAAGGAGACGTTACTGGGGCCTGCTCGAGGCAATCGACGAACAACAGGATGGTCATGATTGATTGGTCGTCATAGTCAACCCAGGTTTAATCCCCAGCATTCCATATAGTCCTCCCAAATACCGCTAGGTGTGACCCAGAAAGCCAAGGGGGGGGGGGGGAAGAAAAAAGTAGAAGAAAACCTTAAAAAGAAAAAAATGCAGGACATCCAAGCGTCTGACCCCCAGATGAACAAGCACCCCTGCCACAATGAGGAAAGGGGCTCAAGCATCATTCAGTTCCCGATCCTCAGTGTCATTTCTGTCATGTGCACAGAATGTTTGCTGTTCTTCCCTTTGGTTCTATTATCTTGCCATCGTTTCCTTCTTGGACAGGACGGAGGCCGAGATCACCTACACCAGCAGATCGTGCTCTGCTCACTCTGCTCTCGGTCTCCTGGGATAGGGGTATTAGTGGTGCTCCGTGTGCGTTTTTATACGTCAGAATAAGCCAGGCTGGGGCTGGGCACGTGGCTCAGGTAAGAGCACGCGGAAGCCCCAGAGCTCCTTCCGGCCCCGTGTCTGTGCTCACGTGCCAGTAGTGCAGAGCCACGATGTCCAACACAGGAGAAGCTCATCCCAGAGCAGGAAAGGGCCTCCCCGAGGGACGTTTACGTCCAGAGGAGCAGTTTGTCTGGCCTAAGAAAGGGAGTGAGGGGGAAAAAATGGGTGATTTTTCACTCTTACCATTCTCTCTTTCTTCTCTCTCTCTAAGTCGACAGTGAATTTGAGACGGTTGCCGCCCAGCTCCTAAAGAGGACCCAAGCTATGCTGAACAAGTACCGGTGCCTGCTGCTGGAAGATGCCCTGGTAAGGGGCACACTGCTGAGCTCATGTGTTTTGGGGTGATTTTTTTTCTTTTTTTTTTTGGCTTTCTTGGTTCATACCTGGCAATGCTGCGATGCTCAGGGGCTACTCCTGGCTCTGCACTCAGGAATTACTCCTGGTGGTGCTCAGGGGATCCTATGGGATGTTGGGGATCGAACTCGGGTTGACCAGGTACAAGGCAAATGCCCTTCCCAGAGGGAATGGGTGTCTCTCCCTTCCGCCTTACCTCGCCCCCCTGCCCCTGGCAGCAAGGTCGCTGCCACCTCAGAGCTTATTGGAAAGCCAGGTATGAGACGGCGGTGACGGGGCAACTGCAGCCTCATGGGAAGGGGAGCGGTACCAGCTGGTCCTTCACGCCCTACAGAGGTCACGAGTTACCCCCCACGAGTGGCTCTCTGGCACAGCCATGGCTCCAGAGGCGTAGAAACCAATCTCGTAATTATCTGGCCCTTGACAGAAATCCCTCCAGACTTAATTAGTAAAATACCAGAAATCCAAAATCGCGCGGCCACTGTTGCAGCCGTGGGACATCATTTGGTTCTCATAACCAGCTATAGAAAACAAATTATTTCACAATGCCTTTTCAGCAGTTCTGATTGTTGGGCGGAAACTCTCAACAATAATGGTGCATCTTTTGTCGAAATAATGACTGTAATCAAAGTAGAGAGAGAGTTAAGTAGAAATCATCTGCCTTCACAGGCATTGGGAGGGGTGGGAAGGGATATATTGGGGTTCTTGGTGGTGAAAAATAAGTAGTAGCGAAAGGAAAGGTGTTTGATCATTGTGTGACCGAGACTTAAATCTGAAAGCTTTGTAACTTTTCCCACAGTGATTCAATAAATAAATATAACAACAAAAAAAATGCCCTTCCCACTGTACTGTTGCTCAAGCCCCTTATGTGAGGTGTTAGATTTTTTTTTTTAACCCACAATTCGAAGGTGGGGAGGAAAAAAAGTGTTTTAATTAAAACTTAAAACCCACAAGTCAGAGCTCCTAGGTGAGAGAGAGCACTCAGGGATTTCATTTCCCCACCTGGTCATTGGCACAGCTAGCTCGAAGCACGGGAAAGCTTCCGTCACTGTGTGCTGACAGGCGGCGGTGGCCCAGCTCGCTGCACTTTGCCGGGTTTGAGCGCACTCAGTCCACGCTCGTATTTCCCTGCCCGAGGAGGAAGCTCAGCGTCACAGTCACGAGGGCACAGCCATTCACAGAGCACAGACCCCAGCGGGACCCTCTGCAGCTCCTCCCTCCCCTCTCCAGGGCCCACTCTCTACAGTGCTGGGGAGACTCTGCTAAATTCGGTTCAAATCCAGGCTTCCCACACATGAAGCATGTCCTCAGCCCGTTACACTCTCTCTCCAGCCTGTGGGGAAACAAGGAAAGTTCCGGACGTTGTGCAGGAACGTAAAGGGGGCCGGGGTGGAGCGATAATATAGCCGTTAGGGCACTTGCCTTACACACAGGCTGACCTGGGTTCAAGGCCCCAGCACTCCAGAGTGATCCCTGAGCCTAGAGCCAAGAGTAAACCCTGAGCACCTCTGGGTGTGGGTTCAGGCCAAAGAAATTCAAAGAAGCCAGAGATCAGCTCCTTCCTGCAAGGCAGGTACAGCGCCCCGTGTTCAGTCCCCAGCCCCGCACGGACAACGGAGGGACCCTAGAGCACTGCTGGGTGTGACCAAAAGGGAGAAAAACTCGTAATTTTTTATGTGCATAAAGCATCGCAGCCCCTGGGCATCTCCCAGGAGAGGAGACGGTGCCAGGGAGGTGAAGAGGGGAGCCCTGGGCAGAGAGAGAGGACAGCAGGGCAGATACTGGCCTTGCAACAGCCACGCCAGGTTCCATCCCCAGCACCACGTACGGTCCCCCAAGCCTCACCAGGAGTGACCCCTGATTGCAGAGCCGGAGTAAGCCCTGAGTGTAGCGGGTTGTGACCGCCCCCCCACACACACACCCATAAAAGAAAGAACAAGAGAGACTCTCCCCTTCCCGTCTCCTTTTTTTTTTCTTTTTGGGTCACACCCAGAAATGCACAGGGGTTACTCCTGGCTCTGCACTCAGGAATTACTCCTGGCGGTGCTCAGGGGACCATATGGGATGCTGGGAATCGAACCTGGGTCGGCCGCGTGCAAGGCAAATGCCCTACCCGCTGTGCTATTTCTCCAGCCCCTTCCTGTCTCCTTTAGTACCTTCTGAGTTTTGTGTCTGCATGTAAAGTAGCTTCTCTGTTCCAAAAAGAGTATTCTGTGTGCCGGAGCAATAGCAGAGCGGGTAAGGCACTCGCCTTGCACACAGCTGACCCAGATTCCATCCCGGGCATGCCATATGGTCCCACAAGCCTCACAGAGCTAGGAGTAAACCCTGAGCATCACCAGGTATGCCCCTAACCCCCCCAAAAGTACAATATTAGGAAAATGCATCGGAGGGCAGAGATACAGTAGTGCTGACCACACCTCTAGGTCCTGTGTGAGGCCCTGGGTTCCAGCCCCATTGAAAAAATACAAAATTCTTCTGTCGTGGTAAGGATCCATGTGAGCAGATGGGGCATGAGCAGAACACAGACCCCAGATTCTCCTTTGTGGTCATGTCATTGGTTCCAGAGGCAGCCAAGCACTTGTGTTTGTTAAGAGGCATCTGAGACTAGATAAAGAAACTAACATTAACTTCGTGGTTTCTGTTTTTCTGAATATTGTTTTCATATGACCTACATTTCAACTATCTTCTTTGTAAAACAAAATATGAATAAAGCATTAAAAATAATTTAAAAAAAAAAACTAGAGTACAGGGGCTGGTTCAATTCCCAGCATCCCATATGGTCCCGTGAGCACCGCCAGGAGTAATTCCTGAGCGCAGAGCCAGGAGTAACCCCTGAGCATCACCAGGTGTGACCCAAAAAGCAAAAAAAAAAAAAAAACCCAAAAACTAGAGTACATATACACAGTGGAATACTATGCAGCCCTAAGGCATGATAAAGTCATGCACACAGCCACGATATGGATGGATCTGGAGAAAATCATGTTGAGGGAAGTTAGTCAGAGGGAGAGGAACAGACTCAGAATGCCCTCTCTCTCCCATGGGATAGAAGGAATCCTCGTCAGGGAATATGAAATACTCAGTGACAATAAAAAGGAAGAGCAGGAGAACCAGTCTTTGGTAGGAAGCTTGGCAGGGGCAGGGGTGGGGAGGGGGGGATAAATTAGGGAAGGGAGCACCAGACAATGGGGCATGGGGGAAGTACCTGCTACAGAGGCAGGCTGGTGGCTGGGAGGGAAACTGAGAACATTGGTGGAGGGAAATAAACACAGGTGAAGGGATGGGTGTTGGAACAGTATAATCTGAAGCTCGATCATAACTATCATTATGACTTTGTAAAAGGATTCGCAAAGTTAAAATAACCCTGTAAAATTCAGGGTTTTTATTTAAAAAAAAAAAAAGCATCTGACATGACTGAGCTGTCCTGTTGCAGCGGATCAACCCCTCTGCGGAGATGGTGATGATGGACAGGATGTTCAACCAGGAGGAGAGGGCGTCTCTGTCCCGGGACAAGCGGCTGGCACTTGTAGACCCCGGTAAGGATCGTCAGCATCAAAGCCCGGAGAGCTGCTGCCATGTGCAGGGCTGGGAGCCTCTGGCCACAGAACCTGAAGGTAGAACGTGAATTGTAGGGAGGAGAAACCCAGGCTTCAGCACAGAATACGAATCCTCTCGAGAAGGCCTCTTGGCTACAGCTGGAATCTTCCGGTGATAAGTGATTCTTTTCCCCCCGTTTTAAACTAGAGCTCTCAGTCTTTGTCTGTTTCTTGAGAACTAAGTCAAGTCAAAAATATTCCCAGAGCAGTAAAATCTCAACAGATTGGGACGAGGAAGATAGTACCGACAGGGGTTCAGGCACTTACCTGGGAAGTGGCCAACCCAGTTGAATCTCTGGTACCACATCAGGTCCCCCGAGGAGAAGCAGTAGCCTGAGTGTGACCCGGGTGTGACCCAACAAACAGAACAAACAGCAAATTATTGGGTGTCCAATGCCAGGCATTGGGGAAGGGGGAAAATCAATAACAACAGTCCCTGCCCACCAATTATCAAGCGGCATTCACCTGCTTGTCTCACCCGCTTCAGTTTCATGCCAGTTGTATACATGTTAAGTTCGATCCACATTTCTGCCTTTTTGAAATAAATTCTCAGGGACTAGAGACCCTACGGCACTAGCCTTGCGTCCAGCCAACCCTGATTCTAATCCAAGCACTGCATATGGTCCCCTCAGCACTGCCAGAGACCCTTGAGGACAGAGCAGGGAGTCAGCCCTGAGCACAACCAAATGGGCTTCAAACACAAAACAGTTTTCAGGGGTTCAAATACAGTGCAGTGACACCATGTAGGCTTCGCTTGTCTGGGTTCTAAGATCCTGGGTTTGATCCCAACACAGAAGGAAGGAAGAAGAGAAAGAAAAGAATTATCTTTTTTTTCTGGTTTCAGAAGAAATGTTTTGGGGTCAGGGTGTAGCTCGGAGGTAGAGAATTAGCCTTGCATGTCTAAGGCCCTGGGAGTTTCCTGGCACCAAAAAATTTACTTTAAAAGTTTCATTCAAATAAAACTATAGCAATTCGTGGAATATAGATCTGACCCGTGCTTTCACCGTCCGATAAAAGAAATGTTTCTACTTCTGCTGATTTTCTTCTAATTCTGGTTCCCAGAATGAATAAATATTTTAATGCATTAACTTGACAGTTCATTAATCTGCTCCTAAACTATTATTTTCCTGTGGTCTTTCTGCCATCTCCCTAATTACCCTTCTGATACTTACAAATCATATACATTTCTGTTTTGTGTTCCTTATGGCTCAAGACATTTCTGAAGAGGGCCCTCAGGAGTAGCTCAGACCCTGGCTGCTGGAGCCCCAGTTAGACCCCTGGCACCACATGGGCTCCTGAGAACCACAAGGAGTGACCCAGTGAAGAAGAAGTTCCCAAACAGAACAAATACATGAGCCTTACACTCAGTATAAAAGAGTTTTCTTGGGGCTGGAGCGATAGCACAGCGGGTAGGGCGTTTGCCTTGCACGCGGCTGACCCAGGTTCGATTTCCAGCATCCCATAGGGTCCCCTGAGCACCACCAGGGATAATTCCTGAGTTCAGAGCCAGGAGTAACCCCTGGGCATCGCCAGGTGTGACCCCCCCCCCAAAAAAAAAAAGATAAAAGAGTTTTCTTTTTTTTTTAATTTTTTTCTATAAATATTTTATTTTATGGAACTTTTAATTTATTTATATTTTAAATTTTTAGTAGTGAAACACCATGGGGTACAGTTGTAGACTTATAAATTTTTGTGCTTGGGTTTCAGTTTTCAAAGCAAACATTATCGCCCCCTGGGGGACACTGGAATAATGGCAGGTGCAGTTGCAGCGAGGGGACACATCCTGTCTGTTCACTCAGAGATCATTGCCAGGGGTTGACAAGTCATTCGCTTTTCTGAGAAGGCATTCTTGCATGCTGGGAGCATTGGTCTGCAGCAGTCAGCCAAGTCACCTTGGGGTCCTCTGGACAGGGCAAGTGTGAAAGAAATTCTGTGTGTTAGGAGACCCCTCCAATCTTCCCAGAAGGGAGAGGACGTGTAGGGTGTGTGTGTCCTTTATCTCAGAACTGGAGCCTGCTGCTGGCGGCCAGTGACTTGGCCCGTGGGTAAAGCTCCCTCCTCTCTGGGATCTTCTCTTGGGCGGGCCGTGCCAGAATTTGTTGGATGGAATCACCCTTTTTTTGGGCCTCCTGAGTGGTGCTCAGAGACCCAGGAGTGACCCTGTGCCACTCTTGCCAACAGCGTCCAGAGGTGCTGGGGGCCTTGGGGCCTTCCCCTGGCAGTATTTGTTCAGACCATGGGCCTGGACACTGAGCCGTCTCCCTGACCCCTCCTGGAATCACCGTGCTCACATCCATGACGATCTATGTATCCCCTCGGTCTGACATGGAGATTTGAAGATTTTATTGCTTCCAGAATTCACATGTTTTCTGCTCTTTCATTTATTTTTTTTTTTAATGTCTGCTGATTTGGTTTGGTTTTGCTTAGTTTTAACTCTGTACTCAGGGGACCACCAGATTTGGTGCTGGGGATTTGAATCAGCCACCTGCAAGGAAAACACCTTAACCTCATTATCTGTCTCCCCTACTCCCCGTTTCTAAAAGAAAAGAAAATTTTTTAATGAATTTCATTGCGCTCACGTTGGTTTATAGTAGTGCGTTGTTTTCGGATGTGCAGTTTTACCATTGGAGAGTGTTTGATCGCCCTTATCCTCAGAGCTAGTGCACATTGGAATCATGCAGACAGGCATCAGACGACCAAAGCCAGGCCCTGCCTCAGAGAGGGTGCCAAGGTCGTGGTCAGAACCGTAGTCACCCATGACATTGGGCAGGGCCAGAGAGCAGGCACAGCCTGCCTGCCCAGGATTGGTCCCCCCATCCCCACCAGGAGTGACTCCTGAGTGCAGAGCCAGGACTAAACCCTGAGTACCGCCCGGGAGTAGTCCCCAAAGCAAAACAAAACAGAAAGCATCTCTGAGAGGGGCCAGGGAGATGGTGCCGCAGGTAAGAGGCTTGTCCTGCACCACAGCCAGCCTGGATTCCAAACCCGGCACCACATATGGTCCCCTGAGCACTGCCAGGAGAACGCAGAGCCAGAGATAAGCCTTGAATACAGTGGAGTGTGAGCCAGAAGCGGAAAAGGAACTCTTCAGCAGCTGAGGGCGCATCTCACGGGAGTTAAGAGCCCTGGATTCTATCCCAGCAGCCAGGAGGGAATGAACAAGCCTCTTGTGAGATCAGGACAGTGGACAGTCCAGAGACATGGTCCAGGAGGGAGGGGCCTGGCCTTGCATGCGGCTCCCTCTGCCCTGACTCAGGGGGGCCAAATCCAGGCCCCCAAGTGTCCTCCCTGAGCACTGCCAGGAGTGGCCTTGTCCCGAGATCAAGACCATGTGGCACTTTTCCCGTCAGCTCCTCCCGTTTGTCACCCAGCGGCCACCTTTCCAAAGAGACCGAAGCTTTTTGTTGAGATGCCGTGGCCACACAGCCTTGGTCGCCCTGCTGGGTCACCTCTTCAAGTGTTGCATGTGCAGGTCCAGGATGTGGTGGCCGGGCTGAGGGGGTGGGGGGGGGGGGGCCTCGGCCCCGGATCCCGGGGGCTGACACACAGTCTGGACTTGCACATTCACTCACTCGTGTTCTTTCTCTTCCCGTCTCCAGAGGGTTTCCAGGCTGATTTCTGTTGTTCCTTCAAACCTGACCGCGCCGCCCCTGAGACGCACTTTGGCAGGAGCGACCAGCCTGGCGGGAAAACGCCCAGCTCCCTCCATCCGACACCCAAGGCCCCCAGCAGAGACCGAGCCAAAGCAGGTGCAGCTGAACCCACGAATCATGACCCGTTTCATCTAGTGCCTAATCACATCGTGGTCTCCGCAGAAGGAAACATTTCTAAAAAAACTGAATGCCCCGGCCGGGCACTGAAGTCGGACAAAGGGGGCTTAGCTCAGTACCGGGGCGCATCGGAAGAGAAATGCGGCCGGAGAGACTCCGCGAAGGCCAGGGAGTGCTCCCCTGGTCCCGAGGGGCACCGGAAGTGCTCGTCCAGACCCGATCCCGGTACTGAGAGCAAACTCTCGAGTATCCTGGCCGATCCTCACTTGGAGCTGACGTGTGACAATTCCTTCCGGGACAAAGCGCTGAGGAGTTCGCCAAAGAATGAAGTTTTACACACGGACATCATGAAAGGGTCAGGCGAGCCCCAGCCCGACCTCCAGCTTACCAAGAGTCTAGAAACCACATTTAAGAACATCTTGGAACTCAAGAAGGCCGGGCGGCCGCCCCAGAGTGACCCCATGGTTAGCGGCTCTGTCGAGTTAGATTTCCCCAACTTTTCGCCAATGGCTTCGCAGGAAAATTGCCTGGAAAAGTTTATCCCGGACCACAGTGAAGGCGTTGTCGAGACTGACTCCATTTTAGAAGCAGCTGTAAATAGCATCTTAGAGTGTTAATAGCAGCCGTCCCGCCCCGTCCCCACCCCACCCCACCCCAGACCCCTCCCCGGACAAGTTACACTCTCTCCTGGCAAAAGCAAACGGAACCGGTCACCAGTCTCCAGCCTGCTCGGTCTTTCATCACAGGTTATTCTTTCTGATCTCAAACCCCTTCTTTGTCGAAGAGCAATACTCGTGTGGCTACAGGGAGGCCCTCTGGGAGCAGCCCCCGGGGAGCAGTCTGGTAGGCCCTGCGCATTTCAAGTGTTATGGAAGTGCTTATGGTCTTGCTTTTTCTGTTGTTGTTGGCTTTTTGTTTTGTTTTGTTTTTTATTTGTTCCCCCCCCCCTTCCACCCTTTCTCTCTTTTAAGAACATTGTAACTCAATGAAATCACAGTATACTTGGCCCTGAGTAAAAATTTGACAATCATCTAAGTCATTTGAGGAGAATCGACTTATTAAAGAAGATTAAACAGGACTGGTAGAAGCTACTTTTTAAAGAATATCCCTCTGGATCTGCAAGTTTTAGTTTTGGGGTGGGTTCTTTTTTGTTTTGGGGGGTTGTTTTATTTTTTTCCTCTTGCACTGGTGAGGGGAGACAAGCTGGTTCTCCCCTCGGCTCTGCCAGCACCGCAGCCTGGCCCCCCCGCCCAGGGCAGCTGCGGGCGTCTGTGCTCTGGCCGCAGTGCTCAGCTGCTCTCTCCCCAGGCTGCGGCATAGCCACGTTGAAGCCCATCTGGGGGGACGCCCCACTCCCGGTGGCAACAGCCTGGCTTGAGACACTGTCACCAGGCGAAAGAGAAGCCAGCGGAAACCAGTGAAGTCCAGAGTGCAGGGGACCCGGGAGGCAGCTGTGAGGAACACACTGTGTATATATGTACAAGCACATATCCGTTAGCTCGCGAGACAACAAGCGAATGTGTCTGAGCCTCGGACACAGCCAACAGACACTGCTCTGTTTTCATTTGTCGCTGGGTTTTCCCGCCTTCCACCTTCCCTTCGCAGCATCTCTCACGGCCAACTGCCAGCCATCAGCACTTGCCCTTGAAAACGGTCTTGTAAATTTTTTGTTCTTTCTTTCTTTCTTTCTGTTTTTTAAGTTTAAACTCAGTTCAGGGGTCTTTGTTCATGCTTCTCGTTGTCTGAGAGCCCGCAGTCAGCCCCAGCATCGATCTCTACCAAATCACAGACAAACCAAAAGTAAGCAACGTGCCCTGGCCCAGAGGGAGCAACCAGGTTAGCTCTGGCTTGAGAGCAGTGGGGTGTTGTCGGCTGGGTCTGTGTTCGACCCGCGTTCCTCTCTGCACCCTAGACTAATTGCTTTTTTTTTTTTCTTTTTGGGTCACACCTGGCGATGCACAGGGGTTACTCCTGGCTCTGCATTCAGGAATTATTCCTGGCGGTGCTCAGGGGACCCTATGGGATGCTGGGAATCGAACCCAGGTCGGCCGCATGCAAGGCAAATGCCCTCCCCGCGGTGCTCCAGCTCCAGCCCCCGACTGCTTCATTGTTGCGTGTTTCTTTTCAGGGGCACTGCCCCCCCTTCCTTTTTTTGTACAACCCCCCCCCCCCATGACATTGCCTTTCTGTCGCTTCCTTCAATACGTGACAGCCTGTCACTGGGAAAGCCACAGAATGGTGTTTTATAGACACTTCACATGCCCCGGCCCCAGCCACCAGAGGCCACTTTCAGAGACTGTGCCACACGCTGCCCCCTTCATCCGTGCTGTCTCCCCTGTGGCTTTGGAAGTGTAGCCTCTGCCTCCACTCTGACACGCTGCCAGGAACCGCTTCTGGCTGTCCCCAGAGTAGGAGCAGGCCACCATTTTCCTGGTGTTGGACGTTTCTCTCCAGCGTGGCCTATGGTGGCAGGGAAGGTTTCCGGTTGCTAGGGAAGCACAGCCACAGCCCACCTGCCCCCCACCCCCCAGCCCCCCAGAGCAGTCCCTGAGACAGCCTTCCTCGGAGCAGAGCTCTTTCCCCCAGCCTCGCCCGCCAATGGGAACTGGAAAATCGGGGCCATCTGAGGGCCACCATTTTTCCCTTATTCGTGCCAATGTCCACGTTGCAGGTTTTCCCTTTTTCCTGTATTGTAACATATTAGAGAGATAAATTGGTATTGCCAGTTGGAATTTTCTGTTTGGGCAGCCCTGGGGTCACACCCTTTCCTGCACCCCTGGATTTCGTAGGCCCTTCTTCTCTTAGTGAGGGCTCGTGCTCCCTTAATCCCTAGCAAAACCTGAAAGAGGACCCCCCCTCTGATCAAATCCTTCTCATGGTGGAATTTTCTCCCTGGAAGCCTGCCCACAGGCTTCTCAGAGTTACATTAATTACCGAGAATCAGTGGAATTCTTACGAGATAAGATGAGCTTCCTGGACCTGCCCCGGCTGCCCCGGCCACCCCCCTCCCTTCTTCTCTGCTGACCGTCTCAAAGGCCCTGTCACTTGTCTAGCAAACAGTCTAATTGACCAAAATGAAACCTGTAAATCTGTGTGTCCTTGTATGTAAGTTTACTTTTTATGGAGGGAAGACTCTAGATAATGACAAATGAAGATTACGCGATGTCTTTTGCTCCTGTGGTTAGGTGAAAGCGCTCATGGGTCCTAATTCGCATGTCACCCTGCAAGAGAACTCAGCTCCGGACGGCCAACCTCAGTCCAGGTTCCTTAGTTAAAGTTAAGTTCTAGAACTACTTGTACTCAGTAACAGAACAAAACGAAACAAAACAAAAAAATTTTTTTTCTTTTTTTTCCTTTCCTTCTTTTTTTCCTTTCTGTTGTGGAAAAGTGTGAATCTGTTATGAAGCCTTTGATTTCCTGTGTCCTTAAGTACTCTGCCTAAAGATAAAGCAAATTTTAAACTGGCAATTACGAAAAAGAACTCTTAGCTCTGAAGAGTTTAGTAGACTTTGTTAGAATTAGGGAGGCCTTACAGACTGACTTGACTTACAGAGGGCACGTCACTCACTGTCTGTGGTGTGGGCTTTATTTGCTCAAATACCTTCATTTGTATAGTATGTCTCACTTGAAATTGCTTTGTATACATTTTGTAAAAATATTTATAAAATGTTTTGTAAAAAAAAAAAGTATAACAAATTGCAGTTTATTTTGTTATGTTGGATAAATACTGTTAAAAAGAAACCAGTCAGTAACTATATTGTTAATCCATGGTTAGGAAATGTTTAGTTGGAGATTACAAAAATGAAACAACCATTGCAATACAGCCAAAGATTTGGGAAAATGTGCAACTGTGATTGTCTTGATTTTGCAAAGAGGAATGGCTGCTTTTCCCAGAAGGAAAGGGTAAGTGTTTAGGGGGAGTTAGATGTATTGATCATTGGGCTGGAGAGATAGCACAGCGGGTAAGGCGTTTGCCTTACATGTGGCCGACCCAGGTTCAATTCCCAGCATCCCATAGGGTCCCCTGAGCACTTCCAGAAGTAACTCCTGTGCATCGCTGGGTGTGATCCAAAAAAGCAAAAAAAAAAAAAAAAACGGTATTGATCATTACCAGAAAGTAACATAATAGTGAGGGGTAGGCTTGCCTCCATCAGCCTCTCCACCTGCTGCACGGTCCATGAAACAGTGTAGGCCTGGATATCTCCAGCCTCTGTCCCTGCCCTGGGCACTGTAGCACTGTCCTCCCATTTTTCATTGAGGATTTGCTCCAGCAGGCACCAGTAATGTCTCCATTGTGATACTTGTTGTTTACCGTTTTTGGCATATCAAATACGCCGCGGGGAGCTTGCCAGGCTCTGCCGTGTGGGCAAGATACTCTCAGTACCTTACCGGGCTCTCCAAGAGGGATGGAGGAATCGAACCCAGGTTGGCCACGACCGTGCAAGGCAGACACCCTACCCGCTGTGCTATTGCTCCAGTTCTGGGCACATGGATCCTAAACTGTGGAAGAAAAAACAGTTGGGGGGGGGGGCTTTGGAAGTTACTTAAGGGAGCTTCACCTGCAGGATGTTTTCTGCAATCATTATTTTGTTTCTGAGAGGATAAGGAAACTATGGGGTAGGTCAAGAAAATCGGTTTTCCCCAGCTCACTTCAGAGTGGACATGCTTTACTGCAGATGTCCACATCGGACCAGAGTGGATTGAGAAACGCCTCTGACACCCTCTCCCAAATCCTTACCCAGGGTGTTTCTACTCAAATGGTGCCAGGAGACTACCCAGAGATGATTTTCTGATGGGAGGGTTGAGGCCCCTTACACTTTCACCCAGGGCTGAGAGTCTCAAGTTAAGCTGCCCGGTAGGGTCTGTTGCTTCACCCCCGCTGATGCAGCCGAGTGGTAAGTTGTCCTCGAAGAACTGGCAGCATGTGAGCTTCTGCAGGGGCGTCCGTTCCTCTGGGCCTGCCGCAGTGTTGCCCTGGCTGCCAGGTTCTTTTTTTGCTCATTCTTTTCCCTCTTCTAAAAAGGCTGTTTTCAGGTTGCAGCCATAGCATAGCAGGTTGGCCACTTGCCTTGCATACAGCTGGCCCCGGTTTGATCCCTGGCATCCCATGTGGTTCCCTGACACTCCAGAAGTGAAGTAAGCCTTGAGCCTTGAGCATCGCCAGGTATGGCCAAAAAAGAAAGAAAGAAAGAAAGAAAGAAAGAAAGAAAGAAAGAAAGAAAGGAAGGAAGGAAGGAAGGAAAGAAAGGCTAATTGCAACAGTGGGAGCACTGGTAAATGAAGGGTTGAAGGGACTCCTCTGGCTGCAGGGTTAGACTCAATCTGAGCCCAGGGACATGCCCACAGGAAACACAAGTGATATTTGGCCTTGTCTAGGGGATGGGGGGGGGCGCCTGTTCTCGAAGAGGAGAGAAACCCCCACCACAGCTTTGAGGGAACTGAAAGAGCTCAGCTCAGGTGAGATTGCAACTCCTCTGTCCTCATGGCCTTGGAGGTCTGGGTCAAGGCCCCCTCTTGACTGCACTCCTGGGGGTGTGGGCAAGGTCCTCTCCAGAGCTGGGAGCTCCAGCAGAGCTGAAGATGAAGGGTATCGCGGTCAGGAGCAGAGTGGGGAGATTGACCCCATTCACCAGAGGACTTGGCTCCTGAGGGCGGGATGAGAACATCACGTGGGCACTGACAGTTTGGGGAGGGGGGAACAGAAGTTGGGCTACAAGCCTGCCCCTCGGTGAGAGCTGTAACTTCTCTCCACACCCTGGTGATTTCAGAGTGTTGGCTAAGACATTGGAGGAACGTATGGCACTTTCTGCAGAAACGAAGAGAACAAAAGTTTTGTGATCCATGTTCAATAGAGAAACGGACCTCGTTATACACGCAGCTAGTGGGATCCTGCTCGTGGGGTCACTTGACCTGACCCGTAGCTGTTTCTACTCTGCAGGGTGGGAGACGTCAGTGCAAGTCTCCTCATGGGCACACCCCAGAGCCTGATCTTGGGTGGGGCGGTAGCCTGATCTTTGGGGTCTTTTTTTTTTCTGGTTAGGGTTTTACTTTTGAGGGTTTTTTTTTTTTTTTGGTCTTGGCTTTGATTTGGTTTTGGGCCACACCTGGTAACGCTCAGGGATTACTCCTGGCTCTGTGCTCAGGAATCACTCCTGGCAGTTCTCAGGGGGCCGTATGGGATGCCGGGGATCAAACCCGGGTCAGCCACGTGCATGGAACCCATCTTTGAAAATATAAGCAGGAAGATCCTTAGGAGGAAATCACTTGGGTTTTGTTTTTGTTTTGTTTTCAGGCCACACTGGGCACCCAGCAATCACGCTGCTGACTCAGGTTCAATTCAGTTCCTAGCACTCCATAGGTTTTCCTGAGCTCCCCCAAGAATGGTCCCTGAACACAGCCCAAAACAAAGAAGAACTCTCATGGTTCTGCATGGCCCTGCGAACTTCTGTAAACTCACTTTAAGAAAAAAAAAATCTTGTGAATGACCTACCACTGGGCACAGTGTGCAGTTTCAGGTCTGAAGTTCATGAATAGAGGCCACCGGAGTGATAGTACAGCGGGTAGGGCGTTTGCCTTGCACGCAGCCGACATGGGTTCAATCCTAGGCATCCCATATCATCCCCCGAGCACCTCCAGGAGTGATTCCTGAGTGCAGAGCCAGGAGGAACCCCTGAGCATCGCTGGGCATGACCCAAAAAGCAACAAAAAAAGTTCATGACTGGTGGGCTAGAGTCCCTGGTCCACCAGAATGGTGAAAGACTGGCTTTAGCATGATAAGTGTTCTCCTAGCACCATCTGCTGGTCTGAGAAAATCTTCCCTGAATCCAGCCTAAAGCTCTCAGATTAAAATCAGAGAAATTCCTTTCAAAACCTTCAGTACCACAAAACCTACCTTTCATTTGTACACCAGAGAAGTTATCAAATACAAAGTCATTTTTGTTCCCTATTTAGTATCGAATAAACATCTTACATCAGGGCCAGAGAAGTAGCACTGCGGGAAAGGCATCCGCCCTGCACGTGGCTGACCGGGCTTCGATTCCCAGCATCTCAGATGGTCCCCTGAGCACTGCCAGGAGTGATTCCTGAACGCAGTCAGGAGTATCTCCAGATGTATCTCCAAAACAAAAGAAAAAAATAAGCATCTTCTCTTAGTGGCACCTTTTACCTCCCCTGAGGAAGTGCTTCGAGAGTGGCAGTCAGGTGCAGCCTGCAGAGAAAAGGCCCTGAGTTTGATTCCTGGCACCACTAGGTATGGCACCTATTCAGATTAAAAGCTACAGGGACCAGAGTGATAGTCCAGCAGGGAGGGCGCTTACCTTGCATGCAGCTGACCTGGGTTTGATACCTGGTCCCAAGCTCACTGAGGAGTGATCCCTGAGCATCACCAGGTATGATCCAAAAACAAACAAAAAAACTAGGGGCTAAAGAAAAGAGTTAAGTCGGGGCTGGAGCAATAGCACAGTGGGTAGGGCATTTGCCTTGCACACGGCCAACCCGGGTTCGATTCCCAGCATCCCATATGGTCCTCTGAGCACCGCCAGGGGTAATTCCTGAGAGCCAGGAGTAACCCCTGTGTATCGCCAGGTGTGACCCAAAAAGCCAAAAAAAAAAAAGGATTAATTCACTTGCCTTGTGTGCAGACAAACCTGATTCAGTCCCCGGCACCACACATGGTCCCCCTCTCCACCAGGAGTGACCCCTAAGCACCACTGGGTGTGTTTCAAAAACTGCAACTTCACCTGCCCAAAAAACTGTCGCAGCATGAGAACAAGCCTCACCAGACTATAGTCGGTGACTCGGAAAGCTATTGTCCTTTTGAGTGGTCACAGCCCACAATGCTCTGGGGCTCACAAGGGGTGGAAGACCAAACCCTGGACTCCCACAAACGTGCTCCAGACGTTTGAGCCATTCCTGTATGCCTTGGCCTTTAATTCTCCAGGTAGGGTCCACTGTGCGTTGTGCTTTTCCTGGATGGGCTAATGACAGCCAGTATGCCGACAACCTGAGCTTAAGTATACTTGACAAGCCCCTCCCAGACTCTTAGTTGTCATAAGTATGTAGAATAGTGGCTTATAGTTGTCACTTCTCAGACTGGTGCCTGTCCGCAGCTATGAAATAGTTAGAAAGCACTGTAGAGGATACCACAGAGACCCGAGAGTTAGTACCAGGGTTAAGGCAGCTGAGCTGGGTTGGATTCCCCATACCACCTGACTCTGTGAGCACTTCCAGGAATGATTGTTGAGCACAGAGTCAGGAGTGAGCCCTGAGCAACGCCACTGTGGCCCCAAACCCTTGCCAAAAGACGGGCGAGAAATAGAGACCTCGGGGCTGGAGCGATAGCACAGCGTTTAGAGCGTTTGCCTTGCACACAGCCGACCTGGGTTCGATTCCCAGCATCCCATATTGTCCCCTGAGCACCACCAGAAGTAATTCCTGAGTGCATGAGCCAGGAGTAACCCCTGTGCATCACCAGGTGTGACCCAAAAGGGTGGGGGTGCTAATGGGTGCACTGTGGGTGTTGCTAAACAGTCTACAATGCAGAGGACCATCCCCCCCACCCCCAATAGCAAGGAATTATCTGTCCCAAATTGCTAGTGCAGAAACTGGGAAATAAGCCTTGAAGGATCAATGATGAGTAAAATGGGCATGGTTTTGTCTTGTTTTCTTGTTTATTTTTTGATGAGGACACCCAGCTGTGCCTCAGGGCTTACTCCTGGCTCTGCGTTCAGGAATTAGGGCTGAGAATGAGGTACCATATGGGTCGAACCTGGGTTGGTCGCATGCAAGGCAAATGTCCTACCCTCTGTACTATGGTTCCAGTGCCCATGGTTCTTGCCCTTTTAGTGTCCCAGAGAAGAAACGTGAAACAGAAATTATGCTGGAGACATTCAGAGAGAGTAAACAGACTAGACTGGCTTTGTTATTCACTTAAGAACAGAAGCATTACTTGGCAGCATATGAAAAAAAATGCAGACTATTCACTCCGCACCTGAAAAAACTTGCATTTAAAACAATTTTAGGGAGCCAGAGCAATACTGTACAGCAAGGAAGGCTTACATGTGGCCCACCTGGGTTAGATCCCTGGCATCCTATATGGTCTCCTAAGGACTGCAGTCGTGATTTCTGAGTGCAGAGCTAGGAGTGACCCCAGAGCATCACCAGGTATGGCCCCAAAACCAAAAAAATAAGTAAAAATAATTAGGACCAGGCGTGGCCGCTGGAGAGAGAGCACAGCAGATAGGGCACGTGCTTCGCATGTGGCCGTCTCAGATTCACTCTCCAGCACTGTCCATGGTCCCACGAGCCCTGCCAGGTGTGATCTCTTAGCACAGAGCCAGGAGAAAGCCCTGAACACTGCTGGGTATAGTCCCAAAACAAAAATAAAATTAAAATCAATTTTTAAGTTAAAAAAATTACTTATTTTAAAATAAAAATAAGGGGCCATATTAATAATAATACAGTGGATAGGGTGTTTGCTTTGCTCATATCTGACCTGGGTTCGATCCTCAGCATTCCATATGGTTCCCCGAGCACCACCAGGAGTAATTCCTGAGTGCAGAGCCAGAAGTAACCCCTTTGCATCATCAGGTGTGATCCAAAAAGCAGAAAAAGAAAAAGAAATAAATAATTTTAAGATAAAAATAAAATTAAGATAAGTTCTTTTCTACAAATAAAAGAATTTAAAAAGTATTTTAGGCTCTGTGAATGGCAGTACCATTAATGGCAATTAGTGGTAGGGTTTCATTGCATAAATCATTCCAGCATCACACTGCTCCACCTAAAATGTCTCCTAAAATCTGCATTTTAATAAAACTCTCAGGCAATTTTTAATGCAAGACACAGAGGCTCCGGAAAAACAGGACTTACTTGAGTGGTTTTACATTGTTTTGTGAAACCAGGAGAGAAGGAAGCATATTTCAGGTGGTGAAAACTATAGGGGTGCAGCATACCCAAGGGTGCTCTTCCCAGTGAGGTGCTGGGGGGACCTGCGGTGCCCTGGATCAAAATCCAAACACCCCCACTGCGTGCAAAGTATGCACCCCAGCCCTTAGGATTATTATTTGGGTTGGGGGGAGCTGGGGGCTATTTGAAGTGGTGAGAGCTATATGAGGTGAGGTTCACAGAAGCTTGCCTTGCATGTGGCTAACATAGGTTCAATCCCTGGCACCTCACATGGTCCCCTGAGCGCGGCCAGGAGTGATCCCTGGACGCAGAACCAGGAGTAAGCCCCGAGCATAGCGGAGTGTGCCCCCCACCCAAAAAAAATAAGTCTAATTTCCGGTCCAGCACAATAACAGTGATGCTTGCTATCCAACTGAACAATTTCTATGTTGTATTTCTTTTTAATCCTCGTGACACCATGGGGCAGGTCCATTATAAAACCAATTCTACGGGTAAAGAAAGCCAAGACACGCAGGGGTAAACCCATTGGCTCAAGAGTCCCACTGATGGAGACGAAGTAGGGCTGCATTCGCCACCAGCCTGCACCATCCACGAGGGTCGGCGACACCATCACCGTGGACGTCGTGGTGCACGGTGGGAAACTCACCACCCAGACCAGCGGGATGAGAATTGAGCCTAAAAGGAAAGGGCTGAGTGTGATTTGAGGCCTGGCTCTGCTCCATCCAGAGCAAAGCTATAGAAATTTCATGATTAAAAATAAAAATAAAATTAAAAAAAAGAAAGAAAAAGGGGGGCTGAGATTTGAAGGGGACACGGGCTCTACGTAACTTCAAAGCGGAGCGGAGGGAGCATCGCGCAACCTTCCGCGCGACCTTTCCCAGGACTGCAGCGGTTAACCGCTAGTCTGCAGGTGCAGGCGGTCCAGGTCCTCCAGGCCGCGCTAGAGTGGACGTCTCTATGGTCAAGTACGCGTAGAGCGGCTCCTCGTTTTCCTTCGTGGGTCCGGCTGCGCTTGCGCAGTCGTGGCCGCGGCGGAAAGATGGCGGAGCCGGAGTGAGTGTTTGGGGGCTTGAGAGTGTCGGGCGCGCATCCTTGCGCATCCGTTGCCATCGATGGCGTCCCACTCCACGGTGGCGGTAGAGATGGGTGCTGTGGGCTGGGAGAAGAGAGTAGGAAAGGGTGCAGGTCCCAGGAAGTGAGGGCGAGGCTGGGAACGGGCGGGCGGCGGGGGCCGGAGTTGGGTTCTCCCAGCCGGGATTTCGTTTTCCCTGCATTTCGCTTCGGGGCCACACCCGGCCTTGCTCGGGGCGCACTCCTGGGCCTGCGCCCCTGGGTGGACCCGGGTCGGCCGTGCTGTCGCTCCCGCCCCGCTGGCCCGTTCCCGTGGGCGGGACTCGCCCCCCCAACCTCCCCGCGCCGCCTTCCTGCGCGCCCCGCTCGGTGCACGTGAGGAGCCCGGGGCGCCCCGTGCGCGGCTCCGTACGACTTGGGGGGTTGCAGGGGGAGCTGGGGGAGGGTTTGCAGCCCCTTTTAGGGGGCGCGGGGCGGAAACGGAGTCCGGAAGACGGTGTAGAACAGCGATCGAGACGTGCGTCGGAAACGTTTGAGCGCTGTTGGAATTTTCTGTATCAGGGAAAGGAAAAAGATCCCCTTGGTCCCAGAGAATCTCCTGAAAAAGAGGAAAGCCTACCAGGCCCTCAAAGCCACCCAGGCCAAGAAGGCGCTCTTGGAAAAGAGAGAGGTAACGGCGGCGGCGGGATTCCCCTTGGCGGGGGGGAAATTGTCGCTCACGATTTTTTCACATTGGCAGCACCGGCCCGGGTCCCTTGGGTGACGCCGGGTGCCGGCTTGGTGGCTTGACTTGGCAAGTGTTTGATGAGCCTCTCTCTCTCTGCCGGCTACACACCAGAGTGGAGTTTGTGCAAGTGGAGAGGCGGAGGCTGCGACTTCCGGGTTGTGCTTGGCAGTTGGAGACCAAACATGCTTGTGTTCTTGGAAGAAAACTTAATAATGTTTGTGTTTTGGGTCATAGCACCCAGTGCTTGGGATTACTCCTGGCTCTGCTCTCAGGGATCACTCCTGGCTGGGCTCTGGGGACCATATGGGGAGCCGGAGATCAAACCCAGATCTGCTGCCTGCAAGGCAACTCTACCTGCTTGCTATACTGTCTTTTTTTTTTTTTTTTTTTTTTTGCTTTTTTGGTCACATCCGGCAGTGCACAGGGGTTACTTTACTCCTGGCTCTGCACTCAAGAGTTACTCCTGGCGGTGCTCAGGGGACCATATGGGATGCTGGGAATCGAACCCGGGTCGGTCGCGTGCAAGGCAGACGCCCTACGCGCTGTGCTATCACTCTAGCCCCAGTGCTTGCTATACTTTCTTACCGGTACCCCTTCACTCCAAACATTCTCTCTCTCTCTGTCTCTCTGTCTCCTCTCTCTCTTTCTCTCTTCTCTCTTCTCTCCCTCTCTCTTCTTTCCCTCTCTCTCTCTTTTTTTGATTGTTAGCTTGTATGGGGGCCACCGCCAGCAAAGCTTAGGGGTTGCTCCTCGCCCTGCACTCGGGAATCACACCTGCCGTGTTTGGGGGGGACCACATGGGGTGCTGGGGAAAGAACCTGGGTCAGCCACATGCAAGGCAAGCTCGTTCCTCGCTGTCCCGTCACTCCAACCCATTTGCTGAACTCATGTTTCCCTGGGCAGCTCGACTTCCCCTTATGTAGAGAATGGGGCCGGAGAGATGTATAGGGCTTAAAGCAGCATCTGCCTTGCGTTTATTTGGCTGGAGTGGCTGCAACCCTGGTTCGAGTCCCAGCACCAGGTATAGTCCCCAGGCCACCTCCAGGCATCACTCCTGAGCGCTGCAGAGTGTGGCTCCAGAACAGTAATAAAAAGCCCTTTTTTGTGTGCCTTTGGCGGGGGCGGGGGGCGGGGGAGTCACACCCAGCACTGCTTGGAGATTTCTCCAGGCTCCAGGCTCTAGGCTGGAATTACTCCTGGCAGACTCAGGGACCATATGGGATTCTGGGGATTGAACCCAAGTTAGCTGAGTGCAAGGCAGGTGCCCTACCTACTGTGCTGTCGCTCCAGCCTCAAAAAAAACACAAAAAATAGAGGATGTTTTCCTCCTTTGGTGGAAGAGAAAGGGAAATAGACCGGAGGGGTAGTGACCAGCAGGTCAAGACACAGAGGGCGATGATGGTCTCTGCCTTGCCTGCAGCGGAGGAAAGGAAAAGAGCCCCCGTTTAAACGACTTGAATGGTTCCTGCAAGAGGCCTGGCGGGAGAAGCGTGACCAGGTGCGCCTCCGAAGACTAGAAGTGAAGCCTCATGGCTTGGACGCGCCAGATAACCATTCCTTGGCCTTCGTTGTACGCATCGAAAGGTAGGAAACCTGTCAGTTCCAGCTGGGTTCAGCTTCCAGTCCCTTCCTAGGGAGATGCGGGCCTTGTGGGCCTCTCGATGACTTGTACTGCAGAGCGGGGTTAAGCGTGACACAGCTTTGTCTTTAAGGTCAGGAAGGCCCACCTTAGGCAGAGATATGAAAACGGTGAGTTGGGCCTGGGGCTGAAGCATGGTATATTGGGGTGTTTTGGTTTTAGAGCCACACCCGATGATGCTCAGGGCTTACTCAGGGCTCTGAGCGCATGGATCACACTCGGACCTCGTGGGGTGCCGGGAATCACACCAGCATTGGCCGCGTCCAAGGCAAGGGCCCTACCTACTGTACTCTCGCTCAGTACTTCAGTCAAACCAGAAGCCTCTGGATTTCAAAACATGAGCCCTCTTAGTCATCCTTCCAGCCCACCATCCCTTTCCTGGGATGTTACATTAGCTTTCTAACTGGAGACCAGCCGGGGCGAGGGGGTGGGAGGGGTCCACGATCCACAATATCAGGCCTGCACACGCTGTTCTCAGTATCTGTCAGAAAGAAATCTGGTCAGGTCTTCTAGTTTAAAATCTTTCAAGACCCGGGAATAGACTCTGGGAAAACACGTGCTTTTTATGCATCAGACCTGGGTGTGATCCTCAACTCCACCCCCAAGAAATGTTGTTTTCAATGTTTTTAAGTTATAATCTCGATTGGCTCCAGAAGCAGGACCCCCTTCTTGCCGTGCACGGCCATCCTAAGTATTCAGAGATCGTCTCAGTTCCTGGATACTTGCTGCACATTAAATGGAATGATAGTAGCCTGAGGCATAGTCCAGCGCGGAGGGCGCTTAACTTGCATGCAGCCAACCCAGGTTCGATCCCCAGCATCCCATATGGTTCCCGGGAGTAAGCTGTTAAGTAAATGGGAATGATATTTCTACAGCTGCCTCTCACTCAGCTCCGTAAAGCAAGTCTGTCCTATTCTGTGGACGCCCAGTTCTGTCCGGCGCTTCACAGCTTCTTGCCAGGCTGGCGCAGTGAGTCGCATGGAGCCTGACGTCAGCTGCCTTTGCTTTCAGGATTCAGGGGGTGAGTCTGCAGGTGCGGCAGACAATTGCGAGGCTGCGCTTGAAGAAGATTTTCAGTGGTGTCTTTGTCAATGTGACTCCTCACACCATCAGGATGCTTCGAACGGTGGACCCGTACGTGACCTGGGGGTGAGTGGCTATTCCGTTCCGTTGTACGTGTGCGATTGTTAAGGTGCACCACCACATCCTGTCACTGGTGACAGAATGGGGGCGTTGGTATGACCTTGGAGATGGCTTAGGGGCTGGGATGTGCTCAGCACATAGAGATCCCCTATCAGCCCTGGGCAGCACACAGTGGCGTGGGCAAAACAGGGTCACAGAAAATAGCTCAGGGGCCTGCAGTAAGCGGGCCTGCACCACTGCAAGCCCTGGGGGAGAAAGGGAGCTTGGGGGGGTGGCGGGAAGCAGGAGTGTCCGTGGGGTTGGAGGTGGTCTGAGCGCCATGGCAGGGCCTGTTCAGCTGGAGGCTGAGCCGTGAGGTAGAGAAGAGACCTTTGGAGGCCGGATGCTGACTTCAGACATTCAGACCCAGCACAGCCCGGGTTGATTTTAGGGCTTCCCCACCACCACCCTTTTTGTTTGGGGGCCTTGGGGGCTACTACTGTCATTGTTCTGGGGACCATGTCATGCTAAGTACAGAACCCGGCCTTAAGTCCCCAGACCCCAAAATCTTGGGTCAAGTTTCTTTTCAAGTGTTTTTTTTTGTTTTTTGTTTTGTTTTTCTTTTGTTTTTTTTTTGGGGGGGGGGGTCACACCCAGCAATGCTTACCGGTTACTCCCGGCCCTGCACTCAGGAATTGCTCCAGGCTGTACTCAAGGAACCATATGGGATGCTGGGGATTGAGCTCCAGATTCTTGCATCTAATTTTACATTTAGACCATCACAAGTCGATCACCGGAGGCCACGGTCTAGACTTTTCCTCCTCGTGGGACTCTGGCTGTAGATCGTAGTTCTGAATGCACGGGCCACCGCAATCCTGAGCATCCTGCCCACAGCAGGATGTGTCTCGGGAGCGGAGGAGTCACTGGGACAGTGTCCTTGGCCAGGCCACAGGGTGACGCAGCCAGTGTGAGGCGGTGTGCCACAGACAGTGCTTTGTTCTGTCTCAGGTTTCCAAATCTGAAGTCCGTCCGGGAACTCATCCTGAAGCGTGGACAAGCCAAGGTCAACAACAAGGTCATCCCGCTGACAGACAACACAGTGATCGAGGAGCATCTGGGTGAGTGTCAGCCTGGGGGCTGGATGGGACAGAGAGCAAAGGCCGTTAGCCTTGCTGGGGCACCCGACCCTGTTCTCAGGGGCCTGGAACCTGCAGGTGAAGGTCGTGCACTGTGTTTCGTAGGGAAGTTCGATGTCATTTGCCTGGAAGACCTCATTCATGAGATTGCCTTCCCGGGGAAGAATTTCCAGGCCATCTCTGGGTTCTTGTGCCCTTTCCAACTCTCGGTGGCCCGACACGCCACCAAGAATAGAGTGGGCTTCCTCAAAGAGATGGGCTCGCCCGGCTACCGAGGAGAGCAGATCAACCAGCTCATCCGGCAGTTCAACTAATGCAGGTGAGCATTCGGAGGAAAAGTCACGCCTGGTTGCCTCAAGCTGTCTTTGTAGGAGGCGGAGTTGGATTGTCCCACAGCAGGAGCCATGCCTGGATCGAGGCCCTGAATTTAAATCCCTAGCAAGACATAGTCCCCCGCACACTCCCCTTTGCACCCCCTCCCCATGCAGAACAGCTGGGTACACGGGACGGGGCACCTGTGCCTTGGAGATACTCAGCAGCCTTTCACGCCACTCCTTGCCCTGAGCACAGAGATGAACAGAAGCACTCGCTCTTTTCTCGGGACAGCCCAGCCACTCCCCACTTTACCAGCTTACCGGCAACAGTGTTAGGTGCAGAGACCTTATGTATACAGAGGACTCCGGGCCAAGATATGAGGTAATGGGGATTGAACCTGGGTCAGCTGCCCGTGAGGCAAATGCCCTACCTGCTGTACCATCACTCCAGCCCTATTTTATTTTACTTTAAAAAAAAAGTTGGGGCTGGAGCGATAGCACAGCGGACAGAGCATTTGCCTTGCACGCGGCCGACCCGGGTTCTATTCCCAGCATCCCATATGGTCCCCTTGAGTACCTCCAGAAGTAATTCCTGAGTGCAGAGCCAGGAGGAACCCCTGAGCATCGCCGGATGTGACCCAAAAGGGCGGGGGGGAGAAAAAAAAGTCATTACTCAGGGCTAGAGAGAGAGCATGGTGATTCAGGCACTTGCCTTGCGTCCTGCCAACTGGTTTGAATCCCCAGTACTCCAGTAGTCCCCTCAGCTCTGCTAGGAGTCACTTTGGGGCAGGGCCAGGAATAGCCCCTGTGCATGCGCTGCCCAGTCTGGCACAAAACAAAACTTTTCTCCCTTTAAAAAATATCCCTTGGGGGGCTGGAGTGATAGCACAGAGGGTAGGGCGTTTGCCTTGCACGCAGCCAACCCGGGTTCGATTCCCAGCATCCCATATGGTCCCCTGAGCACCGCCAGGGGTGATTCCTGAGCGCAGAGCCAGGAGTAACCCCCGAGCATCGCCGGGTGTGACCCAAAAAGCATATATATATATATTCCTCGGGCTAGGGGTGGGGCTCAGTGGATAGTCATTGGCATCGTATGTGAGGCCCTCGTTTGATTGTTGGCATCACCCGAACGGCCCAGGATGTAGCTCCTTGGTTTCCACTTTGCAGGCACCGGGCCTCCAGTTGGCTTCCTGGCATCACCCCCCCGCCCGCCCAAACCCTCCCCCCCCCAACAAGTCAGTTGGTGCCAGTGGCAAACGGCAGTGCTGGGACTAAAGAGATGTACACTGGGTGTTGGCGTTCTATGTGGCGTGGCCCTGACCACTGGGACCTTCGTGCTTGTGGGCAGGCTCCGAGCATTCCCTGGCGATGAGCATGCCTCCAGGGCCTCGCGATTGCCTGTGGCGGGGGTTTGAGATGGGAGACGAACACCTGTGGTATCTGTAAAGATCATTGTTCCATCTCTGCAGCAGTTCAATGAAACCTCGTGACACTTTGTGACACACTGTCCCATCTAACCCACGTAACCATAAAGTTCACATCTTCCTCTCCCTGCTTCATGATCAGCACGTGATGCATCCCTTCCTGCCCCTATATAACCATTGTCCTCCCCGATAAACTTTGTCGTGTGACCATCAGACCATGGCCCGCGTGAATGGTATCTCCCAGCCTATCCTTTGCACGCGTATATTTGAGCCATTGGCCCTGGATCGCGTGAGTCTCCGTGTCCCCAGGTTTTGTAACTGCACCGACAGCTACATCAGGGCACTCGCCTTGCATGAAACTGACATTTTTAACCCTCAAGCCCTCCAGGAGTGATCACCTGCCAAAGTGCCACCAGGTGTGGCCCAGAAGCAAAAAACTCCTCCTTCCCACCACACCCCCCCCCCCGCCACCCCCGTTTCCCCCAGGAGTGAGCACTACTAGGTGCCCAAATCCCTCTTCCCCTAAAAAATGAAAAAAGTTATCGACTAGGAAATAAGTAATTAAGAACTTTTTTATTGCTTTGTCTCAAAAAAAATGTTGGTGGGGGCAAATTTGACACTTAAACCTGGCTCTGCGTGTGGATCACTGCCGGCAGTGCTCGGGCCATACAGGGTGCAGAGGCCAACTGAGGCTGGCCACTGTTACGCTGGCTTCATAACTTCTGGTCTCTAAACTAAATGTGTTTGGGGGGGGGGGTGAGAGAGCTGCTGTACTATTGCCCAAACCCCCCCTCCCTCCCCCCCATTTTTTTAAATTTTTGTAACTTAGTTGTTTTGTTTTGTTTTTTTTTAAGCAGTGCCCTTGGTAAGGACATCCCAGAGATGAGGGGGCTGGCTGTTTGGTGACCGGCTCTGTTACTGCCACCTCTGGTCGGTGGAGGGTCACACTGGGTTGCAGTGCCCACACAGTTGGAGGCTAAATCGTCTATTTTTGTTGAAGAAACCTTTTTGAAATTTTTACTATTACTACTCTTAGGTGCCAGGTAACAGTAAATTTGTGTTGATGAGCTTGTGTTTCTTCCCCAGAGCAGCGGAAAGCATGGTGCAGTGAAAGCTTTTGTTGCTGGTTTTCGGGACTGTTACCTGCTGCCTTTAAGGATGGTTTCCTGCTGCAGGAGCTGGAGAGGCAGGGAGCAGTTGAGGGGAAGATGGGATGTCGCCATACGCGTCTGGGTCCCTGGATCTTGGCTCTGACCACTGCTGTCCTGTCCATAAGCAAAAGACACCGTGCAGGCCGTCAGGCCCAGCCTAGGGTACCCCCTTCCTCCTCCTCAAGCTGCAGAGTGGCCGTCTCAAACAGACAGAGACTGTTCTCGGCGAAGGACATCTGAACCTCCAGACAAGCTCTTACAATGAACAGAAGACTCACGTCGTGGGGAGATTTCTGCCCTGGACATCTTCAGTGCCAGGGCTTCCTGTTGGAGAATGAATCCACAGTCATGCACAAGAAAGCAGGGGACCAAGCCCAGGGGCCTAACTGAACCTGGGTGTTTCTGGGGCCTTGTTTGGGAAGAAGTTTTAAATAAAAGCACAGAACTATAAGGTTGTCTCCATTATGAGTCTCCATTCTGTCTTTGCAGCTGCCTTGAGAATCCCAACAGGGCTGGCCCTAAATTCTTCACTGGCCGGTTTGGTTTCGGGGCCAAACTAGGCAGTGTGTGGGCTCCTTCCAGCTTAGTGCCCAGGTGCTGATCTTGGTGCCTGGGCCTCCTGCATGCTCAGTGTGTCGGCCCACTAGCCCTTCAGCCTTGTTTCCCGGGCTCTGTAGTAGTTCTGGTTTGGCTTAGTCCTCTTTCTAACCTGGAATTAGGGAGGGAGGCGTCATGCCTGGCAGTGCTTGGGGTTGCTTAGCCAGGAAACAGCGTTCCAGGGTTGAACTCTGGCTGCCTGTGTGCAAAGCATGTGCTCTGCCATCTCTCTGGTCCCTAGTTCTTTTTGTATTTTTATTTTGGTGATAAGGGTTCACTCCTGGCAGTGCTTAGGGCCATATCTGGTACCAGGGTTGGCTACGTGCAAGGTAAGTGCCTTAATCTGTTCTCTTTCTAGCCCCTGGTTCTGGATTTTAACCTAGTTCTGGATCTGTGAAGGAGAGGACCCTTTCCCTGGGAAAGTTTGCGTTATACACCTCGTAGAAGGTGAGGGAGTGTGGCTCCCGTTGTGGGCCCTGGTTCCTTGGGTGAGAATACACTGCACTATCAACTCACCAGCTAATCGTTTCATGTTCCGTGAAACACTAAAACTTCGTAGTATGGCTTTTGCCCTTCAAGACATTTGGATATTCTACTAAGATAAACTGGTGGAATGCTGAGCCCATGCCCCCTAGAGCAGGGAAATACCCATCTTTCTTGATAAACATCAGGACCCTGCTCTCTGCAGAAATATCACTGGAAAAGTGCTATTTTTCTTGGCTAAATATGGATGAAATTAGCACTATTTAGTTTTTCACGCTCCAGACAGAATTGAACCATTTCCTAGTAGCTTCCAGATATGACACCTCCAGAAGCACTGCCCCCCCCCATCACCACCACCACCACCACCCTGCAGTAGACCAACACTAGGTCCCTTGGGAATTCATTCTGGGAAGGGGAAACTGGTTCACCTTGTCATGTGCCCACCCCGATGTGGGCATTTCCCTGCACCTGGCATGCAGTTGTTTCAGTCTGCCACCTGGGCTCTTGGTATGTGCCCGGCCCAAGCAAGAATGGGAAATATGCTTAGCCATTGTGTCCCTTGACCCCTTACCATCACCTTTTCTGGGGCCAGAGAGAGCATAGGGGCTAATAGGGTGTTCACTTTCACTGCATGCAGCTGGCTCAGGCTTGATCCCTGAACACCACCAGGTATGGCCCAAAAACCAAAATAAAGATAAACTTTGCTGCAGTCTTGGCGCTTGGGGCCCTCAAACATAGCTGGGAAGTTGAGGTAGACTGGGTCAAACAATGCCTTACCATGTGCCAGCTTCTGAGGTAATTAATGAGTTTGGTTGGCTCTTCAATTTGCCAGCAATAGATGTTACACTTAGCCCATAAAGCATTGTGAAATGCAATTGCCTGAAAACGGTCTGCCAGAAAATCATGGGAAGGCAACAGTCGTTAAGTGTGGGAACCCAGGATTCAGTCGGTGTGTTACACTAAATGGGGAATGTTTCCATTGTTGCCTGTAAAGCAGAGACTAATAAAGTAGTTTTTCAGCCTCTGCGGTCAAAAGGATTAAGGGGAATCATTGTTGGGGCCGGAGCCATAGCACAGCGGGTAGGATATTTGCCTCGCAGGCCGCTGACCTCTGGGCTCAATCTCTGGCAACCCACATGGTCCCAAGCACTGCCCGGAGTGATCCCTGAGCACAGAGCCAGGAGTAACCACTGAGCATCACAGGCTGAGGCCATCCCCCCCTCCTCCAAAAAAAAAAAAAAATCATTGTTTCATTGTTTTGTGGGTGGAGAGGTTCCAATCCCTGGCATCACTCCCTGTCTGTAGAGCACCATCCAGGGGCACTCCTGGGCAGTGCCAGGAACAGCCAGAGCACTGCATGGTGTGGCCCCAAAACCCAAACAAACCTCTGCTTTCAACACAGAATTCTACGTAACTAAGGTTACACATAGATGCGTTTCTGCAGCATGCTATGGCTCTCACGTTTCTGGGGTCAGCCCAAGTCTACCCTAACCAAGGCTGGGGTGGTCGGTGCTGGGGGTCACAGACATGCTAATGCTCTAGGGTGAGGTGGGGTGCCTGAGGCCACCGGGGACCAGTAGCCCTGCCTGTGGGGGCATGACTGTCTCAGAATCAAACAGCCGCTGGGATCCCAAATTCACTTTTTTTTCTTTTAATTGAATCAATGTGAGGTACAGTTACAAAGCTTTCACGTGTGAGTTTCAGTCATACAATGATCAAACACCCGTCCCTCCACCAGTGCACATTTTCCACCACCAATGTCCCCAGTGTCCCCCGCACACACACTTTCCAACACTCCCCCGCCTCCCTGGCAAACAATTTCCCCCATACTCTCTACTTTGGGACATTATGGTTTGCAATACAGATACTGAGAGACATTCCCGGCTGATCCTTTATCTACTGAAAGGCACACATCTCCCATCCTGAATGATTCCTCCAACCATCATTGACTTAATGATCCCAAATTCGCTTTCGACAACCCCTAACCCCCAGAAAGCCGACCCTGGGAGGTCATCAACAGTGACCTCCAACCCGGCTAAGAAACTTCCTAGCGTCCTGACCTCTCAGTGCCCCCTAAAAGCGTGGGTTTTTAGGGGGATTGGGGGAGGGGAGGGGTGTTCAATGAAAACACGTTCAAGCGTTGCAGATGGTCAAGCAAGATTTGTTTCAATTACATCAGGAAGGCTGGAACAGGATCTAGAACGTTTCCTCCTTGAGGTTCCCGGTCAAAAACCTTGACCCTGAACTCGGATGTTCCCCGGAAGCTGCGGACCAGCTCTCGGGCAGGGCGCGGGCGCGGGCGCGGGGGCCCCTCGGGCAGGGCCAACGCGCGGGGTCTCCTCGGGCAGGGCCAGCGCGCGGGGTCCCCTCGGGCGGGGCGCGGGCGCGGGTCCCCTCGGGGGGCTGAGACGCTGGCGGCGGCCACTCAGGACGGCGCGGGCGCTGCTCCGCTGGGCCGATCTCCCGCAGGGGCGTCCGGGGCGCGCGCGGGGGGCTCCTCGGGCTCGCGGCTCGGGGTCTCGGGCGGCGGCGCCGGGACCGCGGCCTCCCAGGGCTTGGGCTTCCGGGGCAGCCGCGACGCCGTGGGCTCGCCCAGGGTGGCGGCGATGTGGCGCTTCTCCAGGCCCGGCAGCTCCCGGCCCTGCTGCACCAGCTGCAGGAGCTGCGCCAGCGTCAGCGAGGCGGGCGCCGACTCCGCGGGCGCGGCCACCGTGGCAGGGCACGGCCGGTCCATGCGCCCCGCTCCGGCCCGGGCCCGGGACCAGCGCTTCCGGGAGCCCGGGCGCCACCACCCGCGGGGAAGCGACGGCGTCACGGGCCGGACCAAGGCGGCCCGGACTAGGGGGGTGGGGGAAGAGCCCTTGGGTGCCGCGCTGCGCGCACACACACACACGCACGCGTGCACACCTACGCGCGCGCACACGCACACAGGCACGCATGCAGACACCACACACGCGCACATACACAGACACACTTGACCTCACCCCTGAGTCTCCAAACACACACACACACACACACACACACACACACACACACACACACACACACACACACACACTCTTCAACGCACTTCAGAGTCTCCCAAGCGCACTGTGCTTTAGAACAAAGTGTGCAGGGGCTGGAGTGATAGCACAGCGGGTAGGGCATTTGCCTTGCACGAGGCCCCATCCGGGTTCAATTCCCAGCATTCCGAGCTCGGCCAGGAGTGGTTCCTGAGTGCATGAACCAGAAGTAACCCCTGAGCATCGCTGGGAAAAAAAAAAAAAGAAGAAGAAGAAGAAAATGTGCAGCCAAACTTTGCTTCAGAAGCCCTGGGTTCGGGGGCTGGAGCAATAGCACGGTGGGTGGGGCGATTGCCTTGCACGCAGCCAACATGACCAACACGGGTTCGAGTCCCAGCACCCCATGTGGTCCCCTGAGAACCGCCAGGAGCATGAGCCAGGTGTAACCCCTGAGCATTGCCAGGTGTGACCCAAAAAGAAAAAAAAAAAAGAAAAGAAAAACAGAAGCCCTGGGTTCATTACCAGCACAGCATGGTACCCCTGGGATGACCCCCAAAAAACCTGGCTTTAATAACCCCTCCTTTCTCAACCCCCAAATGGAGCTGGAAGATTTACACAGACCTACTTAGTACCTGCACTTGGGCACAGTAATGCACGCGAGGGAGAGGTCAGAGCAGGGCAGGGAAGGTCCAGCAGGCCCACGCGGGTTCCGCATCCGGTCTCCTAGTACCACATATGGTCGCCCAAGCACCACCAGGAGTGATCCCTGAGTGCAGAGCCAGGAGGAAGCCTGAGCACCGCTGGGTGTGGCGCACACACACACACACACACACACACACACACACACTATGTTTGCACATATGACAACTACTATAGTGTCCACAGAGAAGGACACATGTGTGGGACTCAAGCATAGACAGGAGGCAGAGGATAACTGCTTTCAGACATCTGCCAAACATACCAGAGAGAAGACAGTGGGCGCTATCCCATGGCCTCAGCGGAACCGGGGAGGAAACGGCCTCTGGGGGGCGGCCACACTTCCCATTTCCCCCAACTCTCTTCCCCAGGATCCCAAATGGGAGGAGAGAGGCCAATGAGATAGTAAGAGGGGTGAGGCGCTGGCCTTGGGGGGATCCAGGTTTGATCCCGGCACCGTATAAGGGTCCACAAAGCCCGGCCAAAAGTGACCGCTGAGCACAGAGCAGGAGTAGGGCCTGAGCACCACCAGGTGTGGCTCTGAAACCACAGAGGAACAAAGCAAAACAGGAACCAACCAAAAGGGGACAAGTGGAAGCAGGCCCAGGGTGCGGCAGTGGCTCCAGGCCCCTGGGAGCCGCTGTTGAGAAAGCTTAGGACTCCAGGGTTATCGCAAACTCCTCAGGGGGGACCCCCACCCTCAGCGAGGATTTGAAGTGTAATTACTAGGAATCACAAACGGGCATGGGGTGTCTCTCAGTCAACGCACGTCTCTTGATTATTAGTTTGAGGCTGTTTCTGGGCTACACCCGGCTGTGCTCGGGGTTTGCTTCTGGTTCAAGGCAACTCCCATGCTGCTCGGGACCATGTATGGTGTCAGATTCCCAGCCAGGGCTGCCCTGTGCAAGGCAAATGCCCTGCCCACTCTGCTATCTCTCCAGTCCACTCTGTAGTACGTTATTATTATTATTTTTTTTAATTATTATTATTATTTGGGTGGGGAGGAGGAACACTGGACCACATCTGGCTGTACCCAGGTTTACTCCTGGCTCAGTGCTCAAGAGTGACCCCTGGCAGTGCTTGGGGGACCATATGTGCGGCTGGGGTTTCAAATGGGACTTGGCCACATGCAAGGCAAGTGACTTCCCTCTAGTACAATATCTCTGGCCCTATTATTACTATTTTGGGCGTTGGGGGAGCTACACCCAGCAGTGTTCAGAGTTATTCCCGGCTCTATTCAAAGGTCTCTCCTGTCGGGGTTCAGGGTACCATGTAGTGCCAGGGGTTGAACTCGGTTCTCCAACATGAGGAGCGTACACTCTTTGAGCCATCTCTCCTGTCCCCTGTGCAGTACGTACTATTGCTCTAAGTGTTCGCTCTTTTAGAGCTAATCCCAAGGTAATAAAGTGACCAACACTCTGGGGCCCAAGCTATAGTACAGTGGGGAGGGCGTTTGTCTTGCACACAGCCGACCAGGGTTCAATTCCCACCACCCCCTAAGGTCCCCCGAGCACCACCAGAAGTGATTCCTGAGTGCAGAGCCAGGAGTAACCCCTGAGCACCAGTGGGTGTGGCCCTAACACACACACACACACACACAAACACAAAGCCAACATTCTCCAAAATGACACTGCAGTGCCAGTGGTGTAAAAGACAAAAGATTGAGGAACTGTGTTCTGTGTTAGATGGAGACAGACATGAATGGGAAGATGGGGGCAGTCACCTTCAAAGGACATTCGCCCGACGAGTTCATCAAGCCCGTGCTCTCCCTGGAACACGCGTCTACCTGCTTGTCTCTGTGTCATTTTGCTTATTTCCACTCTGGAAATGCCTCTTATCTCTCGAACGTGTACTTAATCCCTCTCTCCCCTCTCACATCTTTCTAAACAAGTTTCCGTAAAAACTGTCTTACTTCCTTGGGAAAGTTGAAATATCATTCGCTTATCAATGCCGGTGCTATTATTATTCTGGTTTTGGGCCGCACCCAGCCATGCTCAGGGCTTACTCCTTCTCTGCGCTCAGGAATCACTCCTGGCAGTGCTCGGGGGACTGTCTAGGGTGCTGGGGCTCAAACTCAGGTCAGCTGCGAGCAAGTCCGGAGTCTTACCCGCTCTCCTCTCACTCCAATCTCCTCCCCTGCCCTTGTTGTTGGTGCTGTGTTGGCCAAGGGTCACTGTGACACTGGTGTGTTTTTAGCGGTGGCACTCTCTGAGGTTTGCACGTCCTTTGGTGTGGTTCTTGCACACATGCTTGTGGGGGGCCCCACTCTCCACTAAAGCCCATGTTATGGTTGTGTTTCTCTGGGGGTCGCTGCAGTGCTCACGCATGTGTTTCACATAGGATGCACCTCCTGGCCATGGTCCTTACCATCTTTTCAGCTTCAGCACTAGCGTGGTGAGGACCCCACCCCTTCTCGTGGTACTTACATACCTGGAAATAATGTGAGCAGAGGGGCTAGAGCGATAGCACAGCGGGTAGGGCGTTTGCCTTGCACACAGTTGACCAGGGTTCGATTCCCAGCATCCCATATGGTCCCCCGAGCACCGCCAGAAATAATTTCTGAGTGCAGAGCCAGGAGTAACCCCTGTGACCCAAAAAGAAAAGGGAAACACACACACACACACACACACACACACACACACACACACAATGTGAGCAGAAACCTCCCAAAGGACCAAGGACTGGGGAGCTGGGGGAAGAGCTGCCAGATTGTACTGGCTTCACATAGGACATTGGGGGTTTGAACTCATAACCACACGCTTGTAAAACAAACACCTCAGTGTCGCTTTTCTTTCTTGTTTCTTTTTCTCTCTCCCTTCTTTCTTTTTCTCTCCCTTCCTTTCCTTTCCTTTCTCTCTCTCCTCCTTTTTCTCATTCTTTCATTCTTTCTTTCTCTTGTTTGGGCCACACCCAGAAGTAATCAAAGACTACAATGAAGTCAGTGCTTAGGGGATACTCCCTCAGCACTTGGGGAACCATGCAGTGCCAGGGATCAAATCTTGACGTCCTGCAAACAAATCACGAACTCAGTCGATTAAGCTCACTCCTTTGGCTGCACTATTCATGGTTTTCACTTGTCACTTGTATCACTTGTCATCCCGTTGATCGTCGATTTGTTCAAGCGGGTGTCAGTAACGTCTCCATTTGTCCCTGTCACGTGCTAGTTTAGCCCAATGACATCTGCTCGCTCCAGGAACACTCAGAGCCTCAAACCATTTGTTCAGGGTTTTGACGAAGAACTCTGACCATCTCGTAGGTGGGTGGCCATGCATCCTTTTGACATCCCGTGCAATCCAGTCGGTAACAGCTCTAGTCTAGCGGTCATCTCTAAATTGCATTACATCTCTGGCCCATCTGATTTTCGACACCTTGGCAAATACGACAGCATCCCTGATTCTTGATCATCGACGGAGGTTGGAACTCTGGATTCTTTCTCTCACTTGAGTGAAGCGTGATACTCCAAGCATAGCTCTTTCGATTCCTCTTTGGGAGACCCGAATAGCATTCTCATCATCCTATTTACATAGGGCCCAGGTCTCTAAGGCATATGTTAGCGCAGGAAGAACAGTAAAGTCGAAAAGATGTGCCCAGAGCCGGAGGTTCTTCGTCCTCTTAACAACTTCTTCGACGCTCTTGAAGGCGCTCCACGCCGCTCTCTTCCTCCTGCACAGTTTTGGCGCCAAGTCGTTCCTCATGTTGAGTTCTCGACCTAGGTACACATAACTGCTGCATTCAGAGATGTTTGTTCCGTTGAGAGCAAATGGAAGGTCAGGGACTAGTTCATTTTTCATGAACATTGTCTTGGTGAGATTCAGCTGCAGTCCGACCTTTCCACACTCACAGCCGAAGTCGGCCAGCATTTGTGCCGCTTGGCTAATGTTTGGTGTTATCAGAACGATGTCATCAGCGAAGCGGAGGTGGTGTAGCTGCCAACCATCTACCTTCACTCCCATTTTTTCCCCATTCCAGTCATCGCATGATGTTCTTAAGAATTCATATTCATGGGCTTATTTTATTTATTTACAATAATTAATAATTTGTTTGGATTTTTGTC